GAATAGGATTAGGAGTAGATACAGAAGTTTTTATTTAAAAGTTAACAGCCAAGAGCAGTGCCTCACGCCTGTAATCCCAGCACTTTGGGAGGCTGAGGCTGGATAGCTTGAGGCCAGGAATTCAAGACCAGCCTGGGCAACATAGCAAGACCCCATCTTTACAAAAAATTTAAATAATTAGCTGGGTATGATGGCACACCTGTAGTCTCAGCTACTTGGGAGCCTGAGGTGGGAGGATCACTTGAGCCCAGGAGTGGGAGACTGCAGTGAACTATGATCACACCACTGTACTGTAGCCTGAGTGACAGAGCAAGCTCTGTCTCTTAAAAAAAAAAAAAAAAAGTTAATTTAACACTGTTAGTTTTTTCTCTAGTAAAATAAAAATATTAAGATTAGATTGTGGAAATTATAAAATTGCTTGAAGTTCCCTAATCTGCATAAAACAATAATTTGTTCTGTTTTAATTATTTTTCTTTTAGGTGACAACATTTGTACAATCAGTTCTTTGACATTGTCTTTGTTTACACTAGGAAACAAATGTACCACTGCTAGGTATAGAAAAAAACTTCTGAATGCAGAAGAGAGAGAAGAAATTATACTTAGAAATAACATAAAAACAGCTTTAAATATAGAATCAGTAATTTCCTGAGGTGTAAAACCCCACAAAATTTTAAATAACCTTAACCTAAAACTTCAATCCTTAAAGTTTTATAACGGATTATAAAATTTTCAAGCTGGGAGAGCTCTCATAACTGGGAGAGTTATGGATGAAGAAACCACAACTCAGACAGTCTTAGGGGCTTGCAGGCCAAAGTTCTGTACACTCTTATGGATTGCAGATAAATACCAGAAAAAAGGTCACTTTTCCAAGGTCATTCCGATTTTTAGAAATAAATTTAATGACAAATCATGTTTACCTTATATTCTCTACTTTGTCTAATTTTATGTTTTCTTCCATTTTTCATTGCCCTATTGAGAATGAATATATTTAAAGGAATCCATTTTAGGAGATTATATAATTCAAAATATTATATCAGATCTATGATAGGTTAGAAAAATAAGCCTTCTTAGATTAGTATTATTTAACAAATGGCTACTTTCACAACATGTTATGCTAAGGAACTCTAGTTTTCTCCACTTTTATTGCAAAATTGTATTTTATTGGTAGAGAAAAATGAGCATACCTAGATGTCTATACATGACTTCTAATATTTCTGTGTAAGTAATAGGAGCTTTAGATTCGGACTTGGGTTCAATTGTCTCATCTGCAAACTTCATAATTCTGCAATCTTGGACAAGTTATTAACTCTCAGCCTAACTTTTTCTCTACATAATAACATACCTCATGGTTTTAATGATAATTGGGACTAAATGGGAGATTATGTGTAACAGAGCTAGTTAACACTGCAGCTTGAACAAAATAGACAATGAATAAATGATAGTTGTTATTTCCTCGACCCAGTAGTTATTTAGAAGACTATTAATTTCTGAGTGCCTTAGTTTATTTCCTTATTCAATTTTTTATTGTAATCAGACAACATGATCTGTATGATTCCTGCTTTCAAAATTTTTAAATTTATTTTATGGCCTAGAACATGGTCGGTTTTTATAATTTTTCTTAGATACTTGAAAAAAACTCATATTCTTTTTACATTATAAAATTCAATATCTACCCATTCTGATATAAATTATTTCAAATGCTTTGTCCTAATTTTGTTCCTTATACTAGTTGATATTAGTGTGCTAAAATTTCCCCATCCATTATGTTTCGATTTATTTTACATTATAGTCTCCAAAGCATCTGTTTTTGCGTTTTGTGGTTATTTTAGTCTGTGATTAAATGTTCAGTACTATTATACATTTACTATTTTTAATGATATTTTTGTTTTAAAAAATAACATATGCAAATTATAGAAAATATGAAAAATAGAGAAACATACACAGAAGGAAATAAACACCTGCACTTTTACTATGAAATACCGTTATTAAAAGATTTTTATGTGATAAAGAGTAGGAGTTTTAGAATTATATCTGAGTTTGAATTTGGGTTCTACTTATTAGCTTTAGGCAGTATATTAGACTTTTTCATGTATTCAACAAGTATGTATTGAGAACCATACTGTGTGCCAGGCATTTTGCTAGGGGCTGGAGATACAGTGCTTAAAAAGATTGACATACCCATGTTGGCTTAATTTTCTCATTTGTTAATTGGTGATAATACCTCACAAAGTTATTTAGAAGTATCAAAGCTGATTAATAGTGCTTAGCATTTGTCTGGTGTGCAGTAAGAATTCAGTAAATGACAGTGATTATTATTATTATGTGTATTCAATAATAATTGTATCTTTGTCCAAATAAAATGACCTTTTTAATCAGCTTACTGTTTTTGCCTTACATTTTATTTTTGGCATCAATGTTACAAACACTTGCTTTCTTTATACTTTTCTATACTTATCTGTTTGGTTTGGGTTTCTCTTTAAAGCAATAAATAGTTGTTTGTTTAGTTTTTTAAAAATATAACCTGATTCTTAAAAGTTTTTATAGTCAAACATTTTAAACACATACCAGAGTGAAAAAGAATATAATGAACCACCATATTCCTCTAACCCAGCATCAAAAATCATCAACTCATGACCAATCTTGTTTCATTTCTATTTCCTCTTCCCATCCCTCTCTCCGACACACGCATTCACTCTTCCCCTCCCCAGATGCAGTGGATTGTTTTGAAGCTAATCCTAGATATGACAATTCAGATATAAATATTTGCATTTATATTTCTTAAAAGGTGGACTTTTTAAAACACATAACTGCCATACCCTTATCACTCATAAAAACATTAGTATTTAATAATTCTATAATAACATCTAATATCTACTAAGTCACTTCCTTTTGATGAGACAGTTCAAACTTTACATTTCTTACATTATTACTTTTGGAATGATTTTTGTCATCTTACACTTTTTATTCTTTCCTTGTGGGTTTTTATTCTTCTAACATATGGATTGTTTTGTTTGAGGAGGTTGTGAAATATAGAAGAAGGAATTATGGAGCTGGAAAGACCTGGGTTTGAATCCTGCTTCTGCCATTCACTAATTAACTTTACTGAGCCTTGGTTTCCTTAACTGTAAAATAGGGGTAATTATACCTGCTTCATGTTCTTAGGGTTGAATGTGATGCCTGCATAAAGTACTATTAATATCAGTAGCCTATGCCTGTTATTATCTTCTTTAGTCATTTGGACTGTAATAAAAATCTATTCTCGGTTATTGTATGGTTTTTCAAAGTATTCCAGAATTTATATTTATATTTATTAGATAATTATTAAAAATAGAGGTTTTCAAATATCCTTTTAGGAAAGACAGAATTTAGAATCTTTGCTTCTCCCATTACCTCTTTTGAGTTCACATTAATTTAGCCTGGGGTTACAAATCTTAACTTTCTAAAGTATTTTTTCTTTTATATTATTTATATACTTATATCATTTATTCTTCATTGTTAACCCTTTTTCCTTTAGTGGGATTATTTTATTCAGTTATTTCTCAATATTAAATTGATGTCAGTGTATTTCACCAATTCTTTCCTACCTCAATATTCTTGATCTCTTTTTTTAAATTCTCTTTTGATGGTCTAGGATGTACCTTTGAACAATTTATTAAAAAAAAAAAAAAGATACTACTAGGATGGTGAAATTTTAGAAGCCTTTGCAGATCTAAGCATAAGCATGACCTTTGTACATGAAAAACTAGAATGAGGTATAAAATTCTTAGATTATAACTTTTCCCTTTCAACTCTCTGTAAGTCATTACTTCATTGTCTTCTGGCATTTTATTGTTGCAGAGGAGAAATCTGAGGTCAATCTGATTTTAGTTCCTTTGAAATAACCTATTTTTTTCTGCTTGTATGCTTGTAGGATTATATCTTTATCCTTGAAATTTAGAAACATTTGCCAGGACATGTCTTGGTGTTGATGATCTCTGTTGAACCTTCTCAGTCTCCAGTCTCAGGTATTTTTTTTCAGAACTAGAAATTTTTCTTATACTTTCTATTGATTAAACTGCTCTGTTTTTTTTCTTTAGGAACATCTGTTATTCATAGATTATTTCTATGTCTGTCTTCCATAGTTTTTTAATCTTTCCTTTTTTTTTCATTTATTCAAGTTTGTCCTCTGTGGCATGGATTCCGTTTTCTGCAGTGTCAATTCTAATACTTGCTATTCACAATGCAGATTTAATTTTGGCTACTGTGTTTTCATTTCTTTATTCTTATCTCAACATATTCTTGTTTCATAAGCAAGATTCCCCTTAGGGGTACACTTCAAAAAACATGAGTTGGGTTTAGGCCTAAGACTTAGCTATTTCCTGAGGCCACAACCACAGGACCAGCAAAAAAGCTTCTAAAAGGGTCCTCTTAAACTTAAAAATGTAGATATAACCAGAGGATGTTCTTACCCTCATCTAGAAAATAGAACAGTATTGGGTACTAACAGGCCTTTAGTAGCTAGAAAGCAGACACCTTAACTAGAAATAAACTGATTTTTCTAATTACATGTATTGTTTTTCTCTTTATAAAACTAATACATAATAAGTGCATATAATTTTGAAAACACAGTACAAAGAAGAAAATCCTATGACCCAGGTAACTACTGATAAGATTTTATATATGTTTTGCCAGTTACATGCACACATGTTGGGGGGGTACAAAATTGGGGTCATACTATATAGTTTGTATCCTTTTTAATTTAATATATTGCAAGCATATTTTTTGCATCATTAATTTTTCTTTGAGGCCCTGATTTTAATCATTGCATAGTATTCCTACATATGAATAGATGTATTATGATTTATTTAACCAGTCCCCTGTTGGTCATTTAGATTGTTTTCTATTTTTCAGTATAATGAGTATGATGAATATCACTGTACATAAGTCTTTATGCACATCTCTGATATTTCCTTAGGATAAATGAGGAGCTGATTCTTAATCCTGTCACATTGGTAAGGATTATATACATTCCTTATTAAGAATATAAAATGCTTGTTTCTTATTGTTTCAATGTGATTGCATAGAAGATTCTTTGGATTCTGAACAATTTGATGGTACCTTAACCAAAATTTGAGAGAGGTTTCTAATGCCTCATACTCAGCACCTTCATGATGGAATTCCTATTGCATAAGCTTTGAGCAGGAAAACCACTGCTGATATCAGAGAGTTTGGAAGGCAGATATACTTGTGGAAACTTGAGGGTGGTTAAAAAAAAAGTGTGGTCCTTGCTTATTCCTACAACCTTGGTCTCTATATTAATATACTAGGGCTCTGAACCCTTTTTTTTCCTCTTCCCTTCCTGTTATTTCAGACTGTTATTTTCTATGAGGACTTCTTTTCTCCTAATGTCCATATGTACGTTTCATTTCTAGGTAGGAGAATGTCAGTATAATTGATGGTATGTCCTGCTAAGTGTAAGGGAGCACTTTATCAATCACAGATCATTTTTTAGTCCTAGTGTACTGGTGTATACATGATTTCTTGCTGAACTCCCAAGTATTTTTTAACTTATTTTATATTTTCTTCAGAGGTATCAAACAGCCTGGAAATTTACATTGTTGTAACATGCCATTACAACAAAACAATCTGTCTAATAGAGTTGCTTAAAATAAATTTTTTAATTAATAAAATGTTTTTATTTTTAACATTTCAGTTTTTCTTAAAATACTTGGGAAAATACTCTAGTAGTCCTGAAACCTTGGTTCAGAAATACTTATTTGAATGGTTCCTCCTCTTTAAGCCTGGAAGATGATCTTAAATGATGATTTTTTTTTTTACAACAACATTGAAATTTGTTTTGAAAACAATTCCTGCTGAAAGTCAAGGGAACAGTCTCCTTTATCTAATTTGCTCTGATGAGACCCATATTGTAGGTTATTCTAATTTGTGACTTTTTACACATTTCAGACTAACAAAGCATGATTAGCATTTCCTAACCTTTTCTAGTATTTTACATCACATTTGCATGTGTACAATCTGCCAAGCTCCAAAATTTTTTGGCTGGAAGGCATTATGGTGTAATGAGAGAGGATAAATACATTTGCCTCACTTTTAAACTGCTTTTTGTCCATACTCATTCTTTAGCCATATTGTATAAAAATATAGTACACATATGAGTGATCTTTTCTGCCCAGCTTGGTAGGAAATTGGTTGTTAATAAGTGGTGAAACAGACATCTGAACACTCTCCTATACTACCTCATTGCATTACATCTTTAGATGTTATGTGTAGAAATGTAAATATTACAATCAATTGAGGCAAAAGAGGGCAAGAGAAGTAGCATTAACTGAGCATCTACTGTCTCTTGGTGAATCCTTTTAATTATAACATCCCTGTGGGTGGATATTATATGCATCTTACAAATGAAGAAACTGAGCCTCAAAATATTAAGTAACTTACCCAACTTCAAATAACTATACCAGTAAATGACAGAGCAGAGATTTAAACATGCTGGCCAGCCTCAGAACACATGTTTTTTTTTTTTCTATTTGTTTCTTAAAATTAGAGAAATATATTTTCTTGTTTAATAGGTGCTATTACTCGAAGTTCAGGAACTGTAGAAAGTACAATATTGAGTCAGACTGATGATCCATGTAGCCTAAACTCTAATGAAACCAAGGATCATGTTTCAAAAGGGAAACTTCTTAACTATAAAAGTAACTTTATGCTCATTTTTAATAGATAATATTTGAATCCTTGTTTTGATGAAATGATACGAAAGATTCATTGAAATAAAGGTGCTTTTTTGGTAGAAAAAGCTTTGTCAAGTTTCACCGGTATGTAGGACAACATTGGCTTTCATATTTTCTTGCTTTTAAAATTAAGTTCTAAATTTTAAATCTTTGTTAAACTCAGAAAAAAGTAGATATTTTTACAAAAATTACAGCATAAAATGCCTTTTAGATTGTTTAACTTAATTTTTTTCTTAGATTGCTTTGTTATTATATACTGTACTGTTAATTACCTGGGTGGGTAGTTCAGAAAAGAAAGTATATTATAAAATTTGAGATGGCATGTAACTGAAAATACTGAAGCGGCTGATTGACAGATTTGGAATCCAGTGTATAGAGACAGTAGCAATGGGTCAGAGCTGGAAAAAGATGAATTAAAAATTTTAAATAAGGCCTTATTCTTGGGACTAAGAGTAACAACAGGTACAGGATAGAGGATGCAGGGCTTGGTTGCAGTGTACGTAAAGAAGACAAGGATTAATCAGCAGAAAATTTATATGAGTCAGCATTGTGTTGTGGCCATTCCAGAAATAATGCATGTGCCCTTTACTCTGCATTGGTTGTTATCAGGATTGGAATGTTAATTGCATGCGATTCCACACACCAACCTTTAAGATAAATTGGAGTGTGTTCAGAAAAGGTGATGATGAGTCTCATCTATCTTAAAGGAATGTTTAAAGGAACTTGAGTTCTCTAGAAAAGATAAGACTGAGGGTGGTTTATAGTCAGGGGATGTAGATTTATTTTCTGTAACTTTGCAGATAGTGTACAGACAAGAGAATTTGTGGCTGAGGAAAATCACTATATAATGAAGAATTTTATAAGAGGCAGTACTTTTTCTGAGATAGTATAGTAGACTGCCAGGTGAGGTAGTATTCTTGTCCTGATAGTATTCAAGTATAAGCGAGGTCAAGGTAGAAAGGATTGACACATATGATATGTAGTTGGAACAGAAGACTTTCAAGATCCCTTACCAATCCTAAGCTGTTTTTATTTCAAGATCAAAAGCACTTTATGGAGTATGATTTTATCCTCATGAAGCTACCTCACCTAAATAATAGTGCTTTGCATTGGCACAGCTCTTTACAGTTTATATAATGCTTTCTCATGAGTTATCTTACTTTTGAGCCTAATAATAACCCTTTGGGTAGACAGGGCAGGTATCTCCATTTTGAACAGATAAAGTAATAGGCTAAGAGAAAATCTGAATCATCCAATATCATAAAGCGGCAGACTTAGGCTCTACCCTGGTCTATGAATTCCAAGTTCAGTACCGTTTCTACTGTACCAGTTTGCTTTGAAAGTAAGTTGTAAATTGTGATGCTTCTTTTGCATATATTGAAATTGCAAGGAGCAGATGGTTCTTAAGTTTTATTCCCATGGAAAATGTAAGTGTAGCTCAAGTTAGACCAAGGGTTCTCAAAACTAACTGATGGAGAGTCATTGAGCAGATCTGTGTTATAGAAAGATACCTGTTTACAATGATTGAGAAAATCTAGTTTGGGCTACTAGATGAATAATGGTGCCATTCACTAAGATAGCAAATATAGGAGAGGGAGCAGCTTGGTGAGCCACAGGTGAGGTGATTGAATTTTGGACATAATAAAAATAGCTAATATTGTTTACTAAGTACCAGGCACTATGCTTAGAGTTTTATATCACTTATCTCATTTAGTCTTCACAACAACCTTCTGAAGATAAGACTTCTTAATTCTCATTTTTCATATGATGATACTGAGGCTTAGATAGTTAAAAAACCTGTTCAAGGCGTCATAATTAGTAGTGTAAGAGCAGGAATTTGAATCTCCATGTCTTAACTCCAAAGCCAGTGTTCTTAAGAACTAGTTTAAGGCTTTTTTGAAATATTTGGATAAAAACAACCAGTAGTCAGTTGAATAAATGATTGTAGCTTTTAGGAGAAAGAAGGATCATGGAGATAATTAGAGTGTACTTACCAAAGAAGTGGGCAGTATTATCACCTCTGAACATATCTTAGGAAAATAGAGATTTTAAACCTGCCTCCCCCTTTTTCCTGCATTTTGGCACTGGTTCTATACTTTTTGTAGTATTGTCGAGGCCTCCCCTAATCTAGGAACATCTTCTATGAGTGGGTGAAATTGAAAGGTGCCCTTTGTATAACGTCAGTAGACCTTCTAGAATGGGGGCCATGTTTTATTAACGTTTATCTGCAGGTCAGTACCTACTAGAACATAGCATGAATGGAATGAATGAATGAATGGATGGATGGATGGCATAGAGGGATAGGAAGAGTAGAGAGAGGAGTTCATATGCAGAGCAGCTTCCTCATGTAGGGTATGGGGTGATAATGCTCCAAAGATGGTTAGAGATCCTTGTACGCTTGTTGAATTAACAAGTAGTCAGGGGCTACTCCTCTTTCCATTGAAGGAGTGAGAGAAGACACTATGTGTTCCTGACTTCTGTTTTTTGTTTGTTTTTAAAAATTACACAAATAATACATATTCATTGTAGACACATTAGAATATTCAAATAAGCAAAAACAAACAAAATTTAAATTGTCTAAAATTCTACCACCCAGAGATAGCCACTGTTAACATTTTGGTGTATATCCTTCCAGAGTTTTTCCCATACAAATATATACATTGAAACATGTATATATTTATTTAAAATGGGATCATTACAATCCATATTGTTTTGTAAACTGCTTTTTCACTTATTACATGTGACTGTCTTTCCATGTCAATAAATTTACATCTTTATCATCATTTTTAATGACCGTATAATATTGCATCATATGGATGTACAATAATATATTTAACTAGTTCTCTATTGTTAGGAATATAGGTTTCCAATTTGGAGTTCTTTTTGGGGAAAAAAATTACGGTGAGCTTTCTTGTCTGTACATCTTTGTACACTTGTCCATTTTTTTAAGAAAAGTAGAATTGATGGGACGTTTCAAAATTTTATTGTGGTGTTTTTATTCTTAAACACTGACTCAAATTACCTCTGAAAGGTTGTGCTGATTTACACTTTCTCCAGCAGTGTATCCAGAGTGCTCTTTCCCTCATACCCAATTAGCACTGAGTGTTTTTTTGTTTGTTTGTTTGTTTTGGTTTGTTTTTGTTTTTTATAAATCATTATCAATTTGAAAGGCAAAAGGTATCTTTGGGTTAAATGCATTTCTTTGATGAGTACTAAGGCTGAACTCTTTTTTCCCTTATTGCTCATTTCTGTTGAGGTTCATCGTTTTTTCTTACAGGTTTGTAAAACAAAGCTCTTTATGTATTGAGGATATCAACCCTTTGTCATATGTTGCTCTTTTTTTGTAATCAGTTTGTCTTTTATCTTTTTTGTGTCTGGCAGAAAAGGTTTTAAACTTTTATGGATTCCAATGTCCTTTTTTTATGATTTCAACCCTCCTTACCCCATGAGTATTATTATTCACCTATAATCTAATACTTGTATAATTGTATCTTTTTGACATTTAAATGTTAAACCCATTTGGAATTTATTTTGATGTGGAGATTGAGCTTAATTTTCTCCAAAATAATTAATCAGTTACCCTGATTAATTATCAGTGGAGTTGGAATTTAGAATGTGTTTTGTTATATAAAGTGTTGCAAATAATGTTCGATAAGGCTTAAATAAGACCATATGTAATGTATTTAACTATTAAACTCAAGGGCTCACCTGGAAAGGTAATCATCATTTATTACATTGTTTCCATGGAAAAATGTTTTTATAGTTTCAAATAATAAACTTATAGATTAACTTTTGAGGCACAACCTGTTGCAGATTTGCAGCTGCATACTTATATAGTGGTTCTACTTCATGAGAGCCCTTTAGGGGTGAAAATATTCCTCAATGATTTTTTTTTTTTTTTTGGTCTGCCTTCATTAAATTTAACTGATATGATGTCTGTTTTGGTAATTTTCTACTTGCTGTGCTTTTCACAGAATGGACAGCAAATTATGGATGAACCTATGGGAGAGGAGGAGATTAATCCACAAACTGTAAGTAGAATATTATATCACAAGGGTATAGATAAATCAGATACCATGAAATTATTTTTTTAAACTGAGCAAAGTTCTCATTATATAATGTTAGACTGGTTGATGCTTTCACATTAAAGACCGATTTTAAGAGATTGACAAAACAAATTGCTTTGTGTTGTTGAAAGTTTTTTTTGTTTTATATCTCGTGCCTAATACCCAGTTGGTGTTCAATAAGTATTTGCTAATTAAATGAATGCATGAATTAAATTTTAGCTAGTACAAGGACCCAGGCATGGGGCCTAGTGCCTGGGGCTACCTTCCGATTTGGTCTAGATTCCTACTCTCTCCTAAACCATTCAAGGCAGTTTATTTCTTTAGTCTATAATATATAGATTTACGTGTAAACAAATGTAAAAATGATCAGTGTTAATTATGTTTTTCCTGCCACCAGCTACCTTTTTAATTTGTGTAACAATTCCTTTGGAAGGAAAACCTTCAAATTTTTTAATTCTCTCTAGTCTAAAATTAAAGCATTTAATTTTTGCATCATGATGTTACATGGCTTGTACTTACTCTTACTCACAGCATTAGTAGCATTTACATCTGGGAGAAAAACTGCATTCTAGAGATAGGTTGGAAAAGTGCAGGACTAAGATATTACCATCAATGTGGGTGAGATGCTTGAGTACATCATTCTAGATTATATGAATTAGGTCTAGGTATCAGATAAAAGCCTAGTATTTAATATTTCTTTAAGTATTAAAGATTATCAAAATATTTATTAGCCTTATACTTTTAAATTGTATTTGCCTTTAATATACAATTAAGTTTTCGTTTTGTCAACTAGTAATAATTTATATAGTGAAAGTTGAAATGTTGTATTAGTTATCTATTTGATATGTTACAAATTACCCCCAAATTTAGTGACTTAAAACTACATACATTTATTATCTTCCAGTTTCAGTGGGCCAGCAGTCTGGGCAGAGCTTAGCTGCATCCTTTGATTCAGAAACACTCTCAGACTGCAGTCAAGGTGTTGGCCAGGGATAGAGTCTCATCTGAAACTTGGCTGGGGAAGGATCTGCTTCCAGGCTCACATGGTTGTTGGCCCAGATTCCTGGCCCACAGAAACTGTGAAATAATAGATGTATATATGGAGCTTGTCAACTGGTAGGCTTTCTTGCAGGTTGATTGGCCCCTTTTCTGTGAGCTACAATGCAGAGTGTGATGATAAGCCAGTTTTAATCAGAACAAGGCAGCAGAGAAAGTGGAATATAACAAGAGAAGAAACCTGGGTCCCTTACTGACCTAATGGTCTAGTGGCAACTCTTTACCCTAAACTTCACCCTTTTTTTTTATTGTGTCTTTTTGTTGTTGTTATTATTATTATTTGTAGAAACGGAGTCTCACCATGTTACCCATGTTGGTCTCAAACTCCTGGCCTTGCGCATTCCTCCCACCTTGGCCTCCTAAAGTGCTGGGACTACAGGTGCAAGCCACTGCACCTGCCCTAAACTGCCCCTTTAACCTACAGACTGCTCTATAAGAAAAAAAAAAAAAAAAAACAGGCACTTACTTTGTTTGAGTCATTGCATTTTGGGACCTTTTTCTTACAGCAGCTTAATCTGTATTCTTACCATATCTAGTCATTCATTAACCAAATAGTTAATGGATATCTATTAGGTGCCAAGTACTCTGTTACATTATTAGATACAGAAAAGCATATAAGGAAAACTTGCAGTTTTAAAATGGCAAAATAAAGCTGTTTTTGTCCTCTTCTCTGGGAAATTATCACCCAAAACAAGGAGAATAAGAAACAGAAACTTGGTCTTTGAAATCAGAAGACTTCTGTAATTTGAACTATAAGATATAAATATGAAAAGCAGATGGAAGAGTGGTAGCAAGAGGAAATTAATAGAACCTAAGTGATTTTAGAGAAGTGTCGCTGTGGGGAGAAAGTCTTATTCATGGCCTCCAGAACCTCAGAAGAACTCAAAAATGGGGCTACCACTGAAAACTGAAATTGTTGAATGTTGATATAAATACCTTCTAGATCCATTCTCCTCTGGAGACAGAAGGTATTTCATAGAGAAAACCAGAGAAACTCTAGATTTGGGCACCTTGGACACAGTAGGAAGTAGAGTGAGGCACTGGGCTGGAATCAGGGAGATCAAGTGAAAACCTGCTACTGAATGGAGATATGGCCCCATTCTACCCACCAGGAACGTATCCTTCCGGCAGTAGAGTGGGGCTTCCTTGATTGACTAAATGTCAGATATTAACCTTTGGGAGATCTTACAGTGTAGAGGCTGCCAGTTGACAAGCCCCAGAACTTCCAGGCCACTTTTTAAGGCCTTGTTCTTAAATATTTGTGAAAAGCCAAATAACACCAGACATTTGAGGAAGGCTATCAACATGAAAGAATGAGATCTTAGAAAAACAAACAATTCAGGGAAAAGGAAAAAGGAAAGTTGAAGTAATGTCTTCTGAGTATTGAGACAAAATTAATTCCCTAAAACAAAAATAGGTCGTTATTAAAGAAAGAATAATCATAAAAAGAAGAAACTCTTAGAAGTTAAAACTGTGATAGGAATGTTTTGCATCTCAGTAGAATATTTACAAGCAAAAATTGAGGAAAGCTCTCAAAAAGTACAACAATAAGACAAAGAAGGAAAATAGGAGAGAAAAAGAAAGAAGAGCAATCTAACTAATAGGAATTCCAGAAAGAAACAATAGGGAAAATGAAAGAAAGAAAGTAGGGAAGAACATAAGAAACATATTTCTCACATTTTAATATCTCTGAAATGGCAATGCTTGTTATAATTGATGATGTGACACATTTTAATTGACAGCATTTTTTCTTTCATAGCAGTATATTGATAATCATTATCTAAGATTAGGCAGAATACTATAATACTCAAAATATTTTTTTCCCAAAATGAGAACCATGAGTCTCCAGATTTAAAAAAATCCCACCGAAAGTCTTTTAATGGGAGAAAGAAAAAAAAAAAAAACTCCTGCTCTCAAAAAGGCTAATTTTTATGAAATATCAAAATACCAACAATAAAGGGAAGGCCCTAAAAGCTTTTGGAGATTTTAAAAATCATATATAAAGGATTGGGCATAGGAGTAATATAGAACTGTTCAACATTGGAAGTTTGAAGATGGGAGCAATGCCTCTAAAATGCTTAGTGAAAATGATTTTCAACCAAGATATTTTCAGACATGTACTTATTTTAGGAATTTGCTGGAAAATGGGCTCTGCCAACACTAGAGGGTGGTTAACTAAGAAAAAGACATGAGATTCAGGAAACAAAGGATCCAACACTACAAGCATGATGAAGAAAGTTCCTTCCCATTATGATGAATAAAGGACGCTTTACTAACATCTGTGACCCACCGAAAAGAAAAGTGAAAAAAAAAAAAAAAGGAAGCTTTAGAAGACTAGTTCATTTAGTAGGCTTAGAGGGTACTCAATCCAGATTGAAGTAGACAGGCAGATAATTCCAGGAATGCTGTCTCCAGGAACAGGTGCTAGGGGTAGGAGAATAGAAGTGATGAATTGTTCAATAAGTTTGAGTATTGGAAATTCATGGCCACATGTGGTGGCTTATGCCTATAATACCAGCACTTTGGGAGGCTGAGGTGGGAGGACTGCTTGAGGCCAGGAGTTCGGGACCAGACAGAGCAAAATAGTGAGACTCTGTCTGTCTCTATCCAAAAAAAGGTAGCTAAGCAGGTGGCACGTGCCTTTAGTCCTAGCTACTTGGAAGGCTGAGGTGGAAGGAGGATCACTTGAGCCTAGGAGTTTAAGGCTGCAGTGAGATAATGATTGTGGCACCGCACTCCAGCCTGGGTGACAAAGTGAGGCTTGGACTCTTAAAAAAAGAAAAGATAATTCACTTAAGAGGCTGTTGCAGAGTGGGAAGAATTTGACAGAGGTACAAAGAAAAGAAAGCAAATTAAAAAACAAAGCAACTGTAAACTGCCTTGCTATCTGCCTCTCTCCCATATCTTAAGGAAAAACAAAAGTTGTACATAAGAAATGTAACTAGAGTATATTCCTTACCTCGACAGTGAACAATGTTTACGTAATCATAATAATTGTAAAGATTAAACACTGGTTTCACTAAAATTTGTGCCATGTATGCCAAGTCATCTATAATTAGACATCTAGAGGTAATATCTGATATTAATGAATCAAGATTAAAGTAGAATAACGTTATTATTTAGCATATAGAGATATATACCAAAGGGAACAATGAAAAAAGCTAAAAGGGTATAAGAGTGCAGGATACTGCTGCTTTTTCGTTATAAGCTTTGCAGCACTCTTTGACCCTTTAACTTTTGATAAAAATTTAAAATTATAAAATAGTTGTAAGTGGTGTGATCAGATAAAAATTTGCACGGAATTTAACCTGACTTTTGAAGAATAGGTATGGGATTTTGAGAATTAAATGTCAATATGTGGGTGAACACTTTCGCATGGGAAAATGGTGTAAACAAAAGCCAAAGTGGGGAAAAAGTGAGGTGTGTTGGAGGTAGCTAAATCAGTCTGACTAAAAGGATAGTCATAAAGGAGAGCCTAATTTCTCCTGAACATAAAATGCCTTCATTCAGACCTTCCTAATGTACTGAGTTAGTCCTGTGATGTCTCTGGAACAAATCCCCTAGGTACCTATTTGTGGTAGAGCCATTTCGTTCTGGCTAGATTTTTCCTTTCTTCACACCTCATCTTTTCCTCTCTTCCCTTTGTTCTTTGCCCTGCTATCTGCCTCTCTCCCATATCTTATAAATAGAGCTGCTTCTCTTCCATCTTCTGGAATTTTAATGCTGTTATCCTTTCTTTTGGCTTTCTAAAGATTTACCCCATTCCTGTCCTTACTCACATGAAGTAAAAAAACACTATTATTTCCTCCGTGTGTGTATTTCTCACACAAAGCTGCCTTAAAATTTTCTTTTTTTTCCTTTTATTTCATCATATTATGGAGGTACAAATATTGTTAGGGTTACAAAAA